ATCAGCGCCGCCACAAGAATTATACCCATCAATGTGACCATCAGAACCAGGAGGGAGATCCCAGGGGTGGGTGACAGCCCCCCCCCACCACACCCCCCCTTCCCTGAAGTAACTCGGGCGATCTTGGGACCAATTTGGCAATCTTGAGGCCATCCAGGCCCGCTAGAGCCATCTCGGGACCAACCTCGGTCAACTTCGGCTCTCTCGGGGATGCGTCGGGACGTGTTGGAAGCGGACACCATGTCCTCAGAGAACAAACAAGAATCCCTGAGTGTACGCAGTGTTTGGGAATGTACCCCACAGTGAGAGGCCACGAACAGGCCACGAGAAAGTAACTAGACGGGCTGCCGAATCGTTGTTTGCCACACCGCCCCCTTTCCCAAAGTCATGGAAAACTCTATGTGTCATTTTTTGTTTGATGACGCGCGCACCGGTTCGGATGGCCAGGGTAATTGCACACGGGAGCGACGCAATGTCGGCACAGCAGCATGCGCCAAAGCAAAGTCAGTAGGCAAAAGAAAAAGTCAGCGTGCTCACGTACAAAAGATTCACCAAGGCAAGGTGGACCTGTTTAGTGAAACGAGGGCGAGCGAGCGAGAGCGCCTTCCACCAATAGGCGTGCGAGCAGGCAGAATAGGTAATCCGCCGACCCCAGAGGCGTGGGGACAACCCTTACCATGACCACCACCACCAGCATCATCTGCATCATCATCTACCTCATCTTCCTCACCATCATGCCCTCGATTCTTGACCTCCCCTCCCACTTCGCTTCCACCTGGTCCGAAACCCCACCCACTCTGCAGTCACTTGTAACAGCTCCCCACTCGACCATCTTTGACACATTGGAACCTCCTTTCAGAAACCCCTCACTCGACAATTTTCCAACCCGGTGGACCCCACGATTTCTCGCCCAAAAACGACCGACGCCCCCCTCCATGACCCCCACCAGGTCTGGCATCCCCACACAGGGAAAGCTCTGTTCTTGGGACCCTCGCCCCCACGATTTCTCGCTCAAAAACGGCCAACATCCCCCTCCTGGCCCGGGCATCCGCACCCACGGCAGCTCTGTTCTTGGGACCCCCGACCCCACGATTTCTCGCCCAAAAACGACCAACACCCCCCTCCTGGCCCATGCATCCGCACCCGCGGCAGCTCTGTTCTTGGGACCCCCGACCCCACGACTTCCCGCCCGAAAACGACCAACACCCCCGTCGCGGCCCCGGCATCCGCACCCACGGCAGCTCTGTTCTTGGCACCCCCGACCCCGCGATTTCTCACCCCAAAACGACCAACACCTCCCTCCTGGCCCCGCCATCCGCACCCACGGCAGCCCTGTTTGGGACCTCCGACTCACGATTTCTCGCCCAAAAACAACCAACACCCCCCTCCTGGCCCCGGCGCCCCCACCCACGGCAGCTCTGTTCTTGGGACCCCCGACCCCACGGAATTTCTCGCCCAACAAGACCAACACCCCCTCCGGCCCCCCACCTCGCCCGGGCACCCCCACCCACGGCAGCTCTGTTCTTGGGACCCCGACCCCGCGATTTTCCAAAAACGACCAACACCCCCCTCCTGGCCCCCCACCTCGCCCGGCACCCCCACCAAGGCAGCTCTGTTTTGGAGCCCCGACCCCGCGATTTCTCTCATAAAGACTCCAACGGCCCCCTCCCTGGCCCCCACCTCGCCCCGGCACCCCCACTCTAGCCCAAAAACTACCAACACCCCCCTCCTGCCTCCACTTCGCCCCGTCACCCCACCCACGGCCAGCAGCTCTGTTCCTGGGGCCCCCGACCCCACGATTTCTCCCCCTCGGGCACAACGCGCCCCTCCTGGCCCCCCACCCCGCCCGGCAACCCCACCCACGGCAGATCTGCGGGCCCCCGACCCCGATTTCTCATCCAAAAACGACCGACGCCCCCCTCCTGGCCCCCACCTCGCCCCCCACCTCGCGTTTTTGCAACCCCCGACCCGACGATTTCTCGCACACAAACCACCAACACCCCCCTCCTGGCCCCCCACCTCGCCCCGGCACTTCCACCCACGGCAGCCCTGTTCTTGGGGCCCCCGACCCCGCGGCTTCTCGCCCAAAAACCACCAACACCCCCCTCCTGGCCCCCCACCTCGCCCCAGCACCCCCGCCCACGGCAGCTCTGTTCTTGGGACCCCCGACCCCGCGATTTCTCGCCCAACAAAACCAACACCCCCCTACTGGCCCCCCACCTCGCCCCGGCACTTCCACCCACGGCAGCTCTGTTCTCGGGGCCCGACCCCTCGATTTTTCGCCCAAAAACAGACCAACACCCCCTCTCGCCCCGGCACCCCCACCCACGGCAGCTCTGTTCTTGGGGCCCGACCCCGCGATTTCTCACCCAAAAACGACCAGCGCCCCCCTCCTGGCCCCCCACCTCGCCCCGGCACCCCCATCCACGGCAGCTTTTGTTTCGGGACCCCCGACCCCACGATTTCTCGCCCAAAAACGACCAACACCCCCTCCTGGCCTCCCACCTCGCCCCGCCACCCCCACCCGCGGCAGCTCTGTTCTTGGGATCCCCGACCCCACGATTTCTCGCCCGACCCCCACCCGCGGCAGCTCTGTTCTTGGGATCCCCGACCCCACGATTTCTCGCCCGAAAACGACCGACACCCCCTCTCGTGGCCCCCCGCCTCGCCCTAACTCCCCCGCCCACGGCAGCTCTGTTCTTGGGCCCCCCGACCCTATGATTTCTCTCCCAAAACGACCAACACCTCCCTCCTCGCTCCCCCTCGCCCCGGCACCCCCACCCACGGCAGCTTTGTTCTTGGGGCCCCCGACCCCGCGATTTCTCCCCAAAAAACGACCAACGACCCCCTCCTGGCCCCCCACCTCGCCCCGGCACCCCCACCCACGGCAGCTCTGTTCTTGGGACCCCCGACGCCACGATTTCTCACCCGAAAACGACCAACACCCCCCTCCTGGCCCCCCACCTCGCCCCCGCACCCCCGCCCACGGCAAGGACCCCGGACGCGCGCGGGCATGGCTGACGGCGAGGAGCTGCGTCGATGCCGCCGCGGCGCCGAAGAGCGCGGAGCATGCGTGTCCTCAAGGTCTTTCTCCACCCCACGAATCCTCAATCCTCATTCTGAAAAGGTCTCCAAAACAACCCCGCGCCTGCGGGCGGCACCGGCGTGACATTGCCACGTGCGAGAAATATATTCGAAATTCCACCCTCCGCGCTCCTCCACGCTCCTCCTCCACCTCCTCCTCCTGCTGTTCCTCGCTCCTCGTGCTCCTCGCTCCTCCGCCTCCACCTGCTCCATCCCCCCCCCCTAGCTTCCTCCTTCCTCCTTCCTCCTTCCCCCCCCCCCCACACGGAACTTGCACAGCACCGACCAAAATAAAACTCACAGACATGCTTTAGGGTCGGCGGCAGAGGCGGCAGCCTTTAGACAATTAGACTGTCGCAGATTGCCTTCGGCGACCACGCCAGGCCGCCACTGCCAGCTCCCAATCACGCGCTGCAGCGCCCTGAGGGCGGAAGCAGTCAGCCAGACCAGAGAGCATCCACCTGAAAAAAACTGTTAACAAAAAACAAAACAATACAACAACGAAAAAAACGCAGCAGCCTGCACGGCACCCGCCGTCTTCACAGACAGGCAGAGCCTCTGAGCCGCTCCGCGTAACAAGGCGGCATGAATATATCATGACCGATCGTGCGCTGAAAACCTGCACGTCGTGAACAAAAACAGCACATACACAACTACGCAAGACATGAGACAATGACGATGTGCACTCACGGGTCGAAGAACATACAATCTGATCGACGGATCGCGGGGGCGAAGAAGACGGTGGGCCTGCCGGCCTGCCGCTACGAGAAGAAGGGTGAGCTACTACAAGCTGCGCCGGCCACTCGAAGACAGGCCTTTCGGCGACTCAGGGGCCAGGGTGCGTGCGCCAATACGATGCTGCGAGCTATGACTCCACGACAGCCTGCAAACACAAGATGCAAGACAACACATAAGTTCCGACCCGGACTGCAGCCAGGCACGCCGTCCCCGAGGCAGCAGCGGACAACGAGACGCTGGCGCCGCTGTGGAAACCTGCCCCGGGGAGACCAGAGGCAGCAGACGGCCATGCTTCCGTTGACACCCGACGCTACAAGGTTGCAGCGGCCACGCTTCCACGACGTGAACGCTGGCGACGTCGCATGTAGATGCCCGCCGTGGGAGGGCCGCCAGAGGAAGAGGCAGGGGAACAGAGAGGGAGGGGCGGAGAAGCAGCCGGGCGGCGAGGGCCGCGCGGACGGAGCAGGACGGCGCTGCGGAAGAGCCGCGGCGGGGCTCCGGAACGCCCAACGGGGCGCTCAAACAGACTGGCGGCGCTGCACGGCTGGATCTGCACGTGGCCATGGCCACCGTGCTCCGAACGTCGGCCTCCGACGGACGCCCGGCCCTCACTCCGGGCTCTGCGCCACGCTTCTCGGCCGCTCCTTCGCCCTGGCGCCCGCCTCGCCCCGCAGGATCTCCAGCTTGACCACCCGGTCCTCCGCCAGCCTCGCCGCCATCGAGCCCACGTCGCCCGCCACCCCGTTCACCGCCCCTGGTCGGAGCAGGGCGAGATCCCTGACATCCTGACGTCGCATTCTTGTCGAGCCGGGCGGTTACGCATGATTTCGGGCCCCAGCACCCTCACAGATCGGTCTGGCTCGCAAGATGCCACAGAAGATGGGGTCTGGGGCTCTGGTCGCGATTTGGCACCACGTTGGAATGTTTCCGCGTCGTCGGATGTCGTAGAATCGGTCCCCGGGCCCCTCCCGGGGTCCAAACGCCCTGGTTTTCCGAGCTGCGTCCAGCCGTGGCGGCGAGAGGACCCCCCGAAGGCCAACTGCCGTTGCCTCAACTGGCCCTCCTCTGAAATCCACCGCACCGCCCGCCTGTCTTTTTCCCAGGTCATAACGCGGGCATCTGGTGGCCGTTGGGGACGATCCAGGCACCCCTGGAACGCCCTCGGCGAGGCGCAGCTGCTAGAGGGCACCCCGAGGCTGGGAACCTCTGGGAGCCCTCGAGAGCGCCAGAAAACGTCGCACATCCTCTCTGGCAACACCCTGACCGCTGCCTCCACTCGCCCTCCTCGGACCTATGCGCATGCCAGGGAGGACCACGTAGTGGGGCAGGCCCTGCACAACGAAAAGGCGGTTGGAGGCCTCCAGCGGCCCACCCGCCGACACGGCGGTGATCCTCAGCTCCTTCCGGCTCCGGTGCTCCACCTCCCACTCGAGGCCGCAGGGCGCGCGCCTCTGGGCGCCGACCTGCGGCAGCTCCACGCACCGCGTCACCTCACAGAAGGAAGAAGGCACGGCACGTGCAGTTTTGGCAGGTGGATCTCTCAAGCTCTCCGCCTCCTCTGGCGGTGTGCGTCGCGAGCAGGAACACAGCAAAGCCGCAGGAAAGCGCGGCATTGACAGTGCAGCGCCGAGCTCCGCACACGTGACGAATGTTAACGAGCAGGAACACAGCGAGACATGTTAACGAGTGTGATTGGAGAAGACACGTGCGAAGACACAAGACCCTTCCAAGGGCCACACTGCCATAGGAATGTAAAACGCAGGGGACGCGAAACACAGGACACGAGGGTGCCCTTGATGATTTGGCAGCGTCGACCTACTAACCAAACTCGACTGTGAGCATTTTTTGGGGGAGGGAGAAGATGGGAGCGGACAGCGAAAGTGTACACCACGCGGCTGGTGCGGACAAATCCTGCCCCCCCTAGACAGACATCGGCCAATTAAAAGAGCCACCCGAGACAATTATTGCCCGGGCGAGCGTTTGGGGAGGAAGGCGAGCAGGGAAAGCGGGCGACGAGGGAGATAGCATCACGCCCCGCGGGGGGGTAAAACTGAGACGTCCCTGGGCGGCCAGCCGTGTCACGAATTGCGGCCCCGAAGTGTGGGGAAGACGCATGCGGCGATACGAATTCAACCTAAAACGTATCAGCGCCACCGGGGAGAGGAGGAGGAAAGACAAGAGGGGAAAGGCAGGAGGAAAAGAGGAGAGGCCAGCGTATTAGCCGAGAGCGGCTCTCACAGCTCGCCGACGCGCGTAGACCCTGACACGCCCAAGCGGAGGCAAAATAGCCTGCAAGATGATGCAATAAAGCGAGATAGCGCGCGCAACCGAAACAAAGTCATCCACACAAGCTCCCCAGCCCGAGTGGAGACGTTGCTGACAAGAGGAAGAGGAGGAAGACGACGACGACGAGAGGAGAGGACAAGCACCCACAAAATCAAAAGATCTGCCAACAAAAATCGGAACGACGCACGCGCCAACCTGCAGTAGGCGAGCACGCGCGTTAAACCAGGACTAAGAAACGGGCGGGAGCCGACGTGAAACCTAACCCCTTCCGCCGTCGCGGCCCGCGGATCATCGCGCGAGGGAGCGAGAAGCCAGTGGGAGGGGCAAGGAGGAGGAGGGAGGACCAGGGGAGGAGACGGCGCCTCACTCCGGGCGCGGGCGCTTGAACGCCGCCTGCAGCAGCGACGATGCCTTCGCGTGGCCCCGCACTCCTTCACGCAAATAGCCTCGGAAGACATCCGCACATGGGCCAGAAGAGCCAGCGCACCGCACCGCATTGTGCGTGCGATACAAAGCATACGTAAACGCTCAGCGCCCTCAGAGCCTTGGCGCGCCCGCTTCCCTCTGTAGTGCTCTCCCCGCCCAGGAGCAAGAACTCCTCCAATTCGTGGCCCGCTGGTGGTCTCGCCAAGTTCAGGAAGCGTCCGCAAAAGGAATGGTAACATGCGCACCTCCCGTAGTGCGTCACGGAGTCCTCGAGCCTCTGGCATCCGAGCAAGCACTGGCCCTGCTGCTGAAACCGACGGGCAGTCATCCACCCGTTTAAATTGGCCCGCAGAACTGCGGCGAGAACTCGTGGGGGCATCAGCTTCGCGATGACCTGCAAGGAGCGTTGGAGACGAAGGCATCGATGTCCAGGGAGTGCGGGGATTTGCCATTTCTCCAGAGAGCGCCGCATGGCTGTCAACGACGCCGCGACGAAAGAAGGCTGCGTTGCGGTCAAAGCCCTGGCCTGCCAACCGTCGGGGTGGCCCTCCTCGGATGACGCGTCCAAGAGCTCCGCCGTCTTGGCCCCCATGCCGGTGAACTTCCGAAGAGCGGCATCGAGAGAGAAAAGAAAATTAGACGAAGCCCAAGCTAACCGGGATCCCAGCCGCTGTACGCTGTCCAAGTCGGAGAGCACCGCGCGGAGCGACGCCGCGCGGGCTGGAATACGAAGTCCTCCGCTGCAGCGCGCCTCGTGGAGTGCAACGCGAACTTTCGCGACGTGGGCGATAGCCTGCGCGTCGGGGAAGCTCCGCGGCATGCCGAAATTCTGCAATGCCTTCAAAATGTCTGCGTGGAACCAGTTCGCCGGGCCAGGGAACAACTTCTGAACAACTCGTTTTCCCCACCTCTGGGAACGACTCCGGGAGGGGGCCCAGCTGTGCGACGAAGGAGGTAACGGAGATGATGAAGACGCGGTAGGCCTCAATAGTATGCAACATGCCTGCGCCCATCTTGCCCCAGACTGCAGCCCTGTCCTCCATCTTCCTCAACGCCCCTTCCCAAGATTTGCGACCCCGCCCGGGACCCACGTAGAAGCCGAGGTACTTGGCGGTGTCGGCGATCTCCATGGCACCCCATAGCGGCGCCTTCTCCCGCAACTGCTCTCGCATTTGCTGGCGCGATAGCCTCCCGAGGGGGACGAGAACCGTTTTTCCCACATTCAGCATTAAACCAGAAATCTCCGCGCACTCGCTGAAGATCGTCTCGAGGGCGCCGAGATGGTCGAGAAGCATGGGGTCCACGTACGCGGCGTCGTCGGCGTAGGCGCGGGCGGTGCCGGAGGGGAGGTCGCGCGCCAGCTTGCGCAGCAAGAGGTCGGAAGCCACGGCGAATAAAAACGGAGAGAGGGGGGCACCCTTGGCGAATGCCCCGGTCGATGCCGAAGCCGCGATAACGGGCTCCATCGATAACCATGTCGCAGTAGTTGTTATTATATAACACCTCGATGAAATTTAAAGGCCAACTTGGCCACCCCAGCGACCTGAAAACAGCCATGAGGAACGGCCTCTCCACCGAAGGGAACGCAGCCGCGAAGTCGAAGAAGACTGCGCCGCCCGAGTCCGAGGCGCACGCAGCGTGGACGGAGGCCTCCTCGATGTCAATGAGATTCGACAACATGGAACGGCCGCCGATGAACCCGCGTTGGATGCTGGAGACTCTGTCTCCGAGCTTGGGTTCAATAAGGGCTCGGACCGCGCTCGCCAACAACCTACTGTCAGTATTTGTGACGTTCAGGGGCCTCGCGCTGGCTGGTTCGTAGCACCCTTCCCCTGTGGGCGCGATCCCCGAAGGTTTCTTGGGGGGGAAGAAAAGGAGGCTAGCGTTGAAGTCGCCCAAGGACTCGCTCATGAGGTCCCGGCCGTCGTCCTGCGTGAGCGCCTGGAAAGCGTCGTAAAGGATATCAACCGAAAGCCCCACAACGCACCTCCATGCCTGGAAAGGGATGCCGCCCGGCCCTGGAGAAGAGTTATCCTCTTGCACAGGGTGTCTAGAGCTCCGACCGTTTTATTTTTCGCGACGCACCCCCCCCCCCAGTGAGACCTCTGCCCACAGCGCCCCCCAGTGGGACCTCCCTAGCGCCCCCCAGTGGTCCCCAGCGCCCCCCAGTGGGACCCTACGATTTTATTTTTCGCGACGCACCCCTCCCCCCGCCCAGTGGCGCACCCCCCCCCCCCCCCCCCAGTGGGACCTCCCCAGCGCCCCCCAGTGGTCCCCAGCGCCCCCCAGGGGCCTCCCCAGCCGCGCCCCGTGCCCCTCCGCCCCGACGATTTTATTTTTCGCGACGCACCCCTCCCCCCCCCCAGTGGGACCTCCCCAGCGCCCCCCAGTGGTCCCCAGCGCCCCCCAGTGGGGCCTCCCCAGCCCTGCCCAGTGCCCCCTCCGCCCCGACGATTTTATGTTTCGCGACGCACCCCTCCCCCCCCAGTATCTGAATGCTACGCAGGAGTAAGCTTGAGCAGCAGCTGCCTCCTGCCCGTCTGCCCTGTCCGTTTCGCCGCCACCCTCGGCTCAAGGCGAGGGAGGGCGGGACTCTTTCTGACAGAGCCTGGCCGTGCCAGGCAGACCGCGCACACTACAGCGCGGCCGTTCATATTGTGGACAAAAGGTGTTCACGGACAATTATCACGATAATTGACATCGACACATACTTTCTCTTGCTCCTCCTCATCGTCACCAGCGTGAACGATCTCGAGGACGAGCTCTAGTAATCAGATTGGTAGCGGAGCTTGTGGTCTCCGACAACCACGGGCTCCCACCGGTCTCGGCCTGAATGGCGACTACAGCCGCCAGCGGGCCACCGACGACGCGCGTCGACGTCCCCTCATGGAACGGCGAGGCAGACAAGTTGACGAGCTACAAGTTTGAGGTCTCCATGTTCACCAAGAGCATCAAGACTGCGGAGCGCTACGTGTGTGGCCCGCAGCTGGTGCGCGCCCTCGGGGCGCGAGTCCGGACGACGGTGGAGAGCTGCCCGGACATCGACACGGTCGACGAGATCGACAAGGATGGAGTTTTGATTGGTTGGAACAAAGTGTTTCAGTACGTATTGGAGAAGCTGGACTTCACCAGCCTGAATGACACGGGCCTCCTCGCGGAGGAGTTCTTCCTGAAGGTCAGCAGGAACTCGGGCGAGACCTTCCAGGACTGGGCCGCCAGATTCGAGAAGAAGGAGCGGGAGCTGTTGGTGCAGCTCCAAGTCATTGATTCCAGCGTGACGGAAGTGATTGCGAAGCCTCTTCGGACATGGTGGTTCCTTCGGAAGTCCAAGCTATCCCCTGTTCAACGTGGAGAGATCACCGCCACTGCAGGTGGCGACCTCAACTTTGGTAAGACATACAAGGCCTTGCTCACGCGCTTCCCGGCGGAGGCGCTGGCGGAGCTCGACGGCAAGCAGCACCGGAGGGCCTTCTATGAGGACACGCCCGTCGACGACGTTGAGGACGAGACTGGTGGGGAAGATATTGATTTCACAGAGGTTGTCGAGCAGCTGATCACCCTCGCTGAAGAAGATGAAGATGAGGAGCCAGCTGACGACAACCCAGCGGACAACGAGGTGTTCGCAGAGTTCAAGCAGGTGGGCAGGAGCTTCAAGGACGCTCGCGACCTGATCCGACGCCTTCGAGTGTCCCGCGACTACTACCCGGTCGTGTCGCTCAAGGACCCCGATCGCGTGCCCCCGCCTCCGAACCCGGGACGAGGCTTCCAGCGTGGCCGTGGCAAGAACGGTCGAGGCCGCGCTCGCTTCGACACGGGCAAGGGACGTGACATGTCCAAGATGAAGTGCATCGCGTGCGGCGAATATGGTCATCGAGCGGCGGACTGCAACGAGAGGTTCAAGAAAGATAATACGAGAGATGGAGCTCGTGGGACTACTCACAACGGCTTCGTCCTGTCCGCCCTCGACGAGTACCTCTACCTCCTGGAGCGCGACGGCATCTGGGCGATCCTCGACATCGGGGCCACGAAGAGCCTCGGCGGCCTCGAGAGCGTCGAGAACCTCATGTACGAGATGCTGGACCAGCACGGCCAGGAGTTCGAGACGACACATGACGAGTGCTCATTCACCTTCGGCGACGGCCTCCAGAAGAGCTCGATGGGCACGGTGAAGGGGAACGTGTTCCTCGGCGGCGACCTGACCGAGGTCAAGCTGTCGGTGATGCCGAACCGCGTGCCGATCCTCCTGGGCATGGACATTCTGACTGACTCGCTGAAGGTTGTGGTCGACTGCGGCCGGAACTGGATCGGCCTTCCGACCATGGGCAACAAGGTGTTCTACTGCGAGCGCCTCTCGAGCAACCACCTGGCCGTCAACCTGACGACGCCGCAGTGGTGGAAGGAGGTGCCGCTTTCCTTGCCGAGTGCCGGGTGCCTGACGTCCGAAGCGACGGCGCCCGATGTTCTGGTGGAGGAGCTGCCCGAAGAGGCCGCTCCGTGCAGCTGCTGCCCTGCGGTACGCTAGGGACAGCGCCCCCTGATGATGGCAGCAGAAGGGAATTTATCTCGATTGTCAACCTCATCATCGGGGGGGCCACACCGACTCGGTCACCGCGAGTTCGAAACACCTACCAGAGCGACGGAAACCTCGGCGGCGCGGACACCTACCAGAGCGACGGAAACTGCGACACGGAGCGGATCGGCTCGAGCGACGGAAACCTCGATTTCGTTCGGACGGACGGTCAGGTCATCCGACCGGCTCTCTTCATCATCACCGTCGATCGGGACATCATCACAGTCAAGAGGACCGTTAGCAAGCAAGCCTCAGGATCAAAATATGGAAAAGCAAAGCGATGAGCCAGCACAATACCATCGGTGTTCATCATCATGCTGTTCGCAGCCACCTTCGGCTCAGTTCATCAACTCGGCAATAGCCTCAACCAGCAGTCTTTCACGACCTCCATATTCTTCCCAGGCCGCCACTGGCCGCTTGGATGACATGCAGCGACGGTTCTTTGGCTGGGCAATCCTCGGAGCAACAGCCGCCACCTGTGCCTGCGGCCCGCCCCGAGTGGAGCCGCCCTCGCACGAGGGGATCGACAACTTCGGCTCCAGCGACCCCGACGCCAACATCAACAGCAACACCAGCTACTCCGGAGCTACCAGCGAAGTGGTACAACCCAGTGGGGAAGTGCGGCTGCTGCGGAGCTCTGGGGAAGACCAAACGCGGGTGCAGCTGCTTCGGGGGCAAGAGCCACCAGTGCCTCAAGACCCCACAGCAGGGAGCACCCGGGACACCAGCAGCGGCATCAGCAGCGACAGCCAGCAGCGCCTCACCGAGTCCAGCGGGGGCTCAGCCAGTGACGAGACCTCCGAAGTCCGCGTGCTCCTGCTGCGGGACCCTCGGGAAGACGATTCGGGGGTGCAGCTGCCGCGGAGGCAAGAGCCACACGTGTACGAAGGCGACGGAGGTGACCATCCGGGAGCAGGCAGTGGCTCTACGCTGGCGGCGCCTGTCCAACAAGCTGAACTCCCCGGAGGTACAGGGGGGCTGGAAGTTCACTCCGGAGATGCTCGACGACTCGGAACTGCCGGAGATGGACTCGAAGAGGAAACGCTGAAGCAGCTCGACGACCAGGATCTCAAGATGTTCTACGAGAGCCACGACAAGGTCCTGGACGAGATCTACCAGACCATCGCCGAGGACCTGACGGAGCTCGGCAGGCCCTACCGCATCGACCTGATGGAGGTGTGCTGTCCGGAGGACTCGAGCCTCAGCAAGGCCGTGCAGGACCAGGGAGGCAAAGTGTTCAGGTGCGGCCTCTTCAATGGGATCGACATGGGAACGGCAACCGGGCTTCGACGCGCGCTTCACCTTCTCCGACGACTCCGACCGCGCCGCTTGGTTCTCAGCCCGCCATGTACAGCAGACTGCCCGATCCAGAATCTCAACCAGAAGACAGCTCAGCAGAAGGCCACGTATCTGGCGAAGGTGCGCAAGGCCCGACGTATCCAGCGGAACTGCAAGAGCCTCTGGGAAGACTCGAAGAAGATTCACGACTGCCACACCGAGCTCGAACAGCCAGCTTCCAGCCGAAGCTGGACCAGGTCGCCCTCGATCAGGGCGATGCGCGACCAGATGCACGAGACGATCATCCATGGCTGTGCGTATGGACTTCGCGAAGCTCGTTCCGGCCTGCTGATGAGGAAGGCATGGCGCATATGCTCGACAGACCCGGAGTTCGGCGCGAAGCTCGGCAGGACGTGCTCCAACCGCCCTGGCAGGGGCGACAACCACACACACCGCCCCATCGAGGACGGACAGGTGGTGGCCCAGACGGCCTTTTACCCACCGGCACTGTGTAAGGCTTGGGCAAAGCATATCCTGAAGACGAACACCAGCGCGAGGTACGGCAAGGAGATCTTCACCAGCTTGGAACAGATCCCAGAGGACGCTGAAGAGGAGATGGAGGAGGACCTCGACGAGGACCTCTTGCAGGATAACCCCGAGGCCATGGACGACGAGTCGGACATGAAGGGCCTGGGCATCTCCGAGACACCGACCAAGAAGGAGGAGCTGGAGATCGAGCAACGGCTGACGCGGCTCCACCGCAACCTCGGCCACCCGAGCAACATGACACTGTACAAGATCCTCAAGGCATCGGGAGCACCTCTCCAGGTCCTACGAGCAGCTCTTCGCCTCCAGTGTCACGCATGCCATGCGGGACAATTACCAAAAGCCGTCAGGGTCGCCTCGGGCATCGAGTTGCCAGGCGTCCTAGAGGTGCTGGCCTCCGACGGGCTCGAGTGGCTCTCGCCGAAGCAGGACTCTTTCCTGATGACGTTGAACATCGACGAGGGATCCGGGCTCACCAGTGTCACCTATCATGGACAGAAGGGAGAGCGCAATGGCAACAGATCGACTCAGGAGGTGATTTCAACATGGAATGACTGGCGCGGACATTACCGCCGCCCCAGCCTTCTCCGTCTGGACCCCGAAGGTTGTCATCGTTCACAAGCAGTGGCCAGGTGGTGTTCGGACCGCGGCATCGAGCTGTGGATCGCCCCGGGCGAGGCCCACTGGCTGATGGGCAAGGTCGAGAGGCGCATCCAGCTTTTCAAGCGACTGATGACGAAGCTGGCAACGCTGGACCCCGACTGCCCGGTCGAGGAGTTGGTGTCCTGGGCCGTGAGCGCGATCAACAGCATGGACAAGGTCGGCAACCACTCCCCGTTCGAGCACGTGATGGGCGTCTCTGGGATGCCGGCCTCGAGCAACCCGTTCGCCATCATTGACGGGGACACCGGGGAGACTCAGGAGCAGAGGCGCCTCCTCGCGCGCAAAAGCTTCCTGGAAGTAGAGTATGCTGAGCGTCGTCGACACGCCGAACAGGCCCGCAACCGGGTCTATCAGACCTGGAATCCGGGGGACCTCGTCTACTTCTGGCGCAAAGGGAAAGGCCTGGACCCTCGCCCTGGGAAGAAGGGCGGATGGTACGGCCCTGCTCGTGTCCTTGCTCAGGAAAAACGACACGTGGACGGGCGCACCCGTCCTACCTCGGTCATCTGGATCTCCCACGGGAGCGTGCTCATCAGGTGCGCCCCGGAGCAGCTGCGCGTCGCCTCGGAGGCAGAGAAGATGATCGTCGAATTGCAGCGGCAGAGCAACCTTGGGAAGACCATGACGGAGATCTTGGAGACAGCCAAGGGCGGTACCTATGAAGACCTTCTCGGACAAAATCCTCCAGACCTCCGAGAATACGGACCTCCACCGCAGCCGACGATGGCGATCCCCGCGACCGAGGGCCAGACTCTCGAGAACAACAGCGAGGCGGGACTCCCCTCAGGCGCCGACAACGACACACCCGGCGATCCTGATTCCTCCAGGCCACCAACACCAAGCTCAGCGACGCAACCTGAAGTGGAACCGAGTGAACCAGATGTCCGACGGTCCCGGTCACCACCAGCTCGTGCAGCTGACCGGTCAGCAGCCCCATCACGAACGCCAGGGAAAACATCTACCTCAGCGGCAGTCAGGACGGAGTCTCGAACAGCATCGCGTCCGCCTCCCGCGACCTCGACCTCATCGGCGGCCGGCGCCGCATCCCGAGGCGAGTCGAGACCTAGATGGCGCATGACACACCGCGGGCCAGAGCTCGATCTGCACATACCGCCGGAGAAGCGACAGAGAGGCGCAGACGAGGAGATGGCCGACGCGCTGTTCGACAGCAACCACCTGGTCAACCTCTTCAAGGACAAGTTGGACATCACCCTCGGCATCGACGAACAGCAGACCGTCTACTTCGAGTACTTGCAGGACGAGAATACCACTCCAGACGTACGCCGAGGTTTGATGAGCCACATCCTGGACAGCTTCGTCGTCAACCAGCGCCGGAAGGACAAGGTGGAGCTGACCTGGTCCAAGATGAACGCCACCGAGCGTGAGGAGTTCGAGGCAGCCATCGCCAAGGAGACGAACAACTGGATCCAGCATCAGGGACTCCGCGCTGTCCCGGTATCTCGGGTCAAGGACGCGGCGGACGTCATCCGGGCAAGGTGGCTCTTCACCCGCAAGTCCGATGGGAAGGCGAAGGCCCGGCTCGTCCTCCTCGGCTACCAGACGAAGGACCTAGGACAGGAGCCGACAGCCAGCCCCACCGCGTCTCGTCGCGCCCGTCACGTGATGCTAACAGTGGCCGCCGCGAACCGCTGGAAGCTCATCAAGGGCGACGTCACCTCCGCCTTTCTGCAGGCCCACGACCTCGACAAGGACCTCTTCATCGAGCCAGACGCCGTCCTCAGAAAGGCCTTCCACGCGCAGGAAGGGGAAATCCTCCAGGTCGTGAAACCTGGATATGGGATCGGCGAGGCGCCCCGGCACTGGTGGGAGACGGTCAAGCACGACTTTGCGAAACTTCGACTCCAAGCCTGCGAGTTGGAGCCCTGCCTCTGGAAAGCACGATGTTCCAGGACGGGTATGCTCATTGGTATGATCATGGCCCACGTCGACGACTTCATCATGGCAGGAGATACCTCCCACCCTGAGTGGCAGGACATGGTCAAGCAGATCCGAGGGCTCTACAAGTGGGGCACCTGGGAGGACATGAATGACGGGCTCACCTCTCTCGAACAGTGCGGCGTCACCATCGAGGAGAGCGAGCAGGGCTTCTTCCTCCACCAGAAGTCGTACATCGACAAGATCAAGGAGGTCAAGGCGGCCAGCGGCAGTAAGCATCGGACCACCGACAGCCTCAAGGACTCTGACAAGACGGTGCTCAGGGCGTTCTGCGGCGAGATCTACTGGCTTGGCGTGAATACCATGCCATTTCTCCTATCGTGGGTAGCCGACCTCCAGATGAAGATACCAGCAGGTACTCACAACCTCTTCACGGCCGCTAACAACATCGTCAAGCTCGTCAAGCAGAGCCGCCACATGGGGATCAGGATCTACCGGCACGCCCTGGACGACCTCGCCATCTTCACCTGGTGCGACGCAGCCTGGGCCAGCCGCCCGGATGGACACTCCCAGGGTGGTCATATCACCGCTATCTCCTCCAAGGCGGCCATGGACGGGAAGCTCTCCGAGTTCACGGTCCTCGACTGGGGCTCCAAGAAGCTGCGCCGCGTGGCTCGGTCTAGCCTGGCGGCGGAGGTGCAGGAAGCCGGCGACGCCGAAGGCGAGCAGAGCATGGTGCGACTGGTACTTGCCGAACTTCTACACAATATGTCTCCACTGCAAGATACCGCAGCAGCACTACGACGATTACCAGCCATCCTGGTGACGGACTGCAAGGCCTTCTACGACGGCGTGGTGCGATCTCAGTCGGCGGGACTGGGACTGGAAGAGCGGAGGACAGCCATCGAGGCTTTGGCTCTCCGCAATGCCTTGGACGAGGGTCAAACGGTCGTGCGCTGGGTTCACTCACACGCACAGATCGCCGACGGTCTAACCAAGGCAAGCTGGCAGGCATTCGGAGTGGTTCGGGCCTTCCTCGAGAAGCAGCAGTGGCGCCTCATATACGACGAGCAGTTCATGAGCGCTCGCAAGCGGGCAGCTCTTGGCAAGGGCATCTTCGACGAGACGGACCCGACCGACCCGGCCTCAGCTCGTCAGGTACTCGAGGAGCGTAGGTTGGCCCGCCAGGCACAACCACCAGCCAGCATGGAAGGGAACCCTTCCGGCTCGACGACCTCTACTGGGTTCTCGGCCTCCGAATCCCTGATCATGATCCAGAAGTTGCAGCAGGAGATCGAGACCCATCAGAAGTTCGTCCAGCAGCACACAAGGAGCGCAGAGATTGCCTGCGCGCACGGTACAGGGCAGAACCTTTTTCCCCCTGTCTGAATGCTACGCAGGAGTAAGCTTGAGCAGCAGCTGCCTCCTGCCCGTCTGCCCTGTCCGTTTCGCCGCCACCCTCGGCTCAAGGCGAGGGAGGGCGGGACTCTTTCTGACAGAGCCTGGCCGTGCCAGGCAGACCGCGCACACTACAGCGCGGCCGTTCATACTGTGGACAAAAGGTGTTCACGGACAATTATCACGATAATTGACATCGACACATACATTCTCTTGCTCCTCCTCATCGTCACCAGCGTGAACGATCTCGAGGACGAGCTCTAGTAATCAGACAGTGGGACCCCCCCAGCGCCCCCCAGCGGTCCCCAGCGCCCCCCAGTGGGGCCTCCCCAGCCGCGCCCAGTGCCCCCTCCGCCCCGACGATTTTATTTTTCGCGACGCACCCCTCCCCCCCCCCTTCAGTGGGACCTCCCCAGCGCCCCCTCAGTGGTCCCCAGCGCCCCCCAGAGGGCCCTCCCCAGCCGCGCCCAGTGCCCCCTCCGCCCCGACGATTTTATTTTTCGCGACGCACCCCCCTCCCCTCCCCACCCAGTGGGACCTCACCAGCGCCCCCCAGTGGCCCCCAGCGCACCCCAGTGGGGCCTCCCCAGCCGCGCCCAGTGCCCCCATCCTGCCTCCGACCATGTTTATTTTTTTCGGCGACGCAACCCCTCCCCCCCTCCCCGTGGAACCTCCCCAGCGCCCACCCAGTGGTCCCCAGCGCCCCCAGTAGAGCCCCCCAGAGGCGCCAGTGCCCCCTCCGCCCGCGATTTTATCATCTTGCGCATGGTGTCTAGAGCTCCCCCCGACCATTTTATTCCGCGTCGCCCCCCCCCCCCCCCGCGCGGGTCCCCAGCGCCAGTGTGGGACCCCCGCGCCGTGGCTCTCTGTCCCGAGCTCCCCCGCGTCCCCAGCGCCCCAGCGGGAGCCCCGCCCACTGCCCCCTCCGCCGCGAACGCTTTATTCCGCACCCCCCGCCCCGCGTCCCCAGCGCCAGAGTGGGACCCCCGCGCCGTGGCTCTCTGCCCTGAGCCCCCCCGCGTCCCCAGCGCCCCGGCGGGAGCCCCGCCCACTGCCCCCTCCGCCACGAACGCTTTATTCCGCGTCGCGACGCACACCACCTCCCCCACCTCCCTCCCCGCTTCCCCAGCGCCCCAGTGGGGGCTCCGCCCCGTGCCCCCT